CTCAATAATAAGAAATCAATAATAAGTAACCTATTATTAAAATGATATACTATTAAACTGTGATTTGAATTATAGTTCTAACAAATTGTGATGTAAAAAAAAATTAATAGAATTATGGGTAATATTTTTTAAACTTACCAGCTTGTTATTTTTTTCCTAGTAGTATCATCTGTTATTCTTTGTCCGAGTCAACTCTCCACCTAATTGCTTAATTTTCTATTTTATCTCTGTTGGTTTGCTGATTGTCATTTTGTTTTCCCTTTTTAGTGTATGCTAGTTTATTACTTCCTATGTTACAGTAAAATTTCTGTTCTCCCCAGCTGTTCTACTCTGCTTTATATACTACATTATTTCCGCCACTCCCATCTCCTGTATTGCTGCTCTCATATATTTTATTTTATTTTTTATTTAAATTGTATTGTCAAGGCAATGTACAGAGGTGTTATAGTTACATAAGGAAGGTAATAAATTCATTGCTTTTCTAACTTGTTACCCCTTCCCCCATTGTTCTCCCTCTTCCCTCCCTGTGGCCCCCAAGATCATTTCCAACATATTGTCTTGTGAATATTACTGTGGCATAGGTTCCACATTTGTCCTTTGTTTCACCATTTTGTTTTTTCCCTTTCCCTTCCCTAGTTCATGTCAACATATTTACAATACCCAGGGTATCAAAATCAAATATGGTGACTACAGGGGATAAAAGTCAGAATAACACAAAAAGTTAAAAAGAAATCATGTAGTACATTAAGAATAACAACAACAAAGAATATATTTTGAAGTTCATTGCACTTGTAATCACCTTATATGGTATTATGTACATACCAATTGAGCTATTCTGCTCATCTAGTAAGCTTATCCATAGTGTACACAATAATGCTCACCTATTACCGAGTAGTCCAACTTCTGGGCATTTACCCAAGTGACCACAAACAAGGCCACACTAAAGGTACAAGCACAATTATGTTTATCACAGTATTATTTACCATAGCTAAGATATGGAATCAACCCAGATGCCCCTCAGTAGATGAATGGATCAAGAAAATATTACACACACACGCATACACACATACATACACATGGAATACTATGCTTCCATCAGAAAGAATGATACCACCTCCTTTGTAAGGAAATGGAAGTTCGTGGGAAAAAATCACATTAAGTGAAGTAAGCAAGACTTATAGAAACGTAGGTCCTTATTTGTAATAATTAGTAAATATCAAGGATAATCTCATGAATTTTAATTTGATATTTTGTTCTATGTTGAGCATACAACATTCTTGCTATATTGTTTGTTAATGTTTCTGCAAACAAGCAGGTATATTTAAAGAATTACGTTCATCTCATCCATTACTGAAGGAAGAACAACTAAAAGAGCAACCCCTACAAGGAAGAACAACTCCTACTTACTTAGCTTCATTCCTATGTAAGGCCAATGTTGTCCCCTGTATCCTCATGTTGTACAACTCTATACTTGGTCATCCTGTACATCTACTATCATCTCTATTGTGACCTAAATGCCCCAGCAATTCCACTTTGCTTTACTTTTTTGAAAAATTTCTGTTTTTTAAAGTTGTGTGTGTGTGTGTGTGTGTGTGTGTGTGTGTGTGTGTGTGTGTGTGTGTCTGTGTCTGTGTCTGTGTCTGTGGTTTTACACAGATCAGAAGACAACATTTTTCTTCATTCAGAATACATCTTTCAGGTCATTGTAAGTTGTGGCTAATGAGAGAAGTCTCTTGCTATTTTAAGGATGAAACAGAAAACTATATTTGTGTAGGCACCACAGTTGCTTTATTAGTCTGTAGTTGAACACATAACTTCAATTGATATCTTGCCTGTTGTGAATAATGTGACTAACAATGAACTACAGATATATTTATGAGTTACCCAGAGAGAAATAATCATGATTGGTGGGTCAGATGATATTTCAACTTCGCATTTCTTTAGAAAATTGCATACTACTTTCTACAAAGAGAATGCTACCCGGTATTGTGACCAAGAGTGTAGAAAATTTCTTTTTCTCCACACTCTCACTAACAGTATTACCTTTTGAGTTTTTTGAAAGGGCAAGTTTTTACTATGTGCAGTACTGCTGACTGGCCTTAGACTCAAATACTTTTACTCCAACCTCCAAAATTCTTAGAATTACCAGCTTTTGCCACCACACCAAGTTCCATTGATTTTTTATGAGTTATAATAGTTACCAAGTATTATCATTGTAATTTTTAATTGCATTTCTCTAATGACTTCTGTTCACAAAGCATTAAACCAGCACAGAAGTAGTATTAAACACAACTTTGTAAACCCACTGGTGATTTTCAGGGCATTTTGGAAAACATGTCTATTCAGAACTTTTGTCTATTTTTAATCAAGTTCCTTGTTAATCTCATCTTTAATCTCTATATACAAAATCAATAATTAATTGAAGGTAGTAGAAAGGAAAAAATTGAGCAACTCCTAACATTTTTCAACTTTCAATAACATGATATTTCTTAAATCATTTTCTGTTTACGCTTGAGACTATATAACTCAATTTGGTTGGACCTTTTCCAAGGCTATATGTATGTTATTTATTTTACAGAGATTGCTCTTCCTAAAGCCTGAGTGTCTTATTTTCCTTGGTTTCTTTCAGTCACATGTACTTCAAATTTCAAACCGAAGAATAAATTGAAGGAAACAACAAAAAACCTAGAGTTCCTCTTATCTGATGATGCCTCTACAAGAATGAGGAAAGTGTTCATCATGCTAAGGACCTATGATAGGATATGAAAAAGAGAATTAATTCTTCTGGGTCTTCCCTATTTTTGCAATTTAACTTAAATGATGTAAAACACAATATACTGCTCATTTACTTTTAAATTTTATCAATTTTGCACATATTCATATGGACTTTCACTTAGTCTACAACATTCCTTCATTATTCTGTCCCTGATATTTTTATAGTATCAAGACATAAGATAACCAGTTTTAATTTACAGCATGAGAAGTTTTTCACCTGGCTTCTTTGGAAGGAAAGCATAGCCAACAGATAACATTACTGCTAGTTGCTCACTTCATGGAATGATTTCTGTAATACATATCAAATTCTGTTTAGTATTAAAAAAACTGCTGGCTAAACTCAAAATTCATTTATAGAAATTTATGTTAAGTATTTCAAAGTCTCAATTCAATATTCATATTGTCCAATAAATAATAGCATAACAATTATTGCCCATGGTAACTGTTTTGTGTCACATTTTGTCTTCAACACAGACTGTGTTGGTGACATTTGGTTATCATGCACAGAGCTGAGATTATAAATAGAGGTCCAAAGAGTGCCAAATTTATTCTGTCCCACAGTTCCTGTATCCTTTTTACAAAGTACTAAAACTTTTAAATACCATCACTTACTGTCTTTTAAATATCCCAAAGTGAAATAAATTCACATGTAATCACTCCAAATTGCTTTAAAAGTAGGAAATGATAAAACAGACTCCCATGAAGTAAAGTTTCTTCTACTTTTAAAATTATTCTTAAAGCCTTGTCCTGGTTGGTCACACCTGTAATCCTGTCTACTCGGCATATCTACTCAGGAGCTTGAGATCTGTGGATAAGTGTTGGAAGCTAAGCAGTGCAACAATAATTCATAAGATTACTCTTCAAAAATTTAATTGAACTAGCAAAGGTCCAGGAATGGAGATGTAGCTCATATAGTAGCTCACTAACCTAGAGAGGAAAGGCCTAGCAAGACCTTGAAGTACTGAGTTCAAATTCTGAGCATGCCCACATGCAGGCCTGCACACACACACACACACACACACACACACACACACACACACACACACACACACACACACACACACACTTATTCAAAATATCTTCAGGTCATTTTTTGCATTAATTTCTTTGTTAATGACATTATATGGGTAAAATAATGGAAATAAACTCTTCCATCCCAGAGCATTTCTAAATGTTTTTTTTTTATCGTAAAAATACTATACAGAGGTGTTACAGTTACATGAGCAAGGTAATGAGTCTATTTCCTATCAAGCATTTGTTTTTCCCCCACCATCCCTTCCCTTCCACCTCCACAAGTACATTCCTCACCCCACCAACACCACACCCCTATCCCCACCTAAATTGTAAAGTTCGTTTTTCAATATAGTGTCTTGTGAATCTCATTGTTACAATGGGTCAACCTGTAGCTCCATTTAAGCATTTTGTTTTTCCACTTTCCCTCCCCAAATTAGAGAATTGTATATATAAGATGCAGACGGACCAACAACAAATACAGCGAAAACAGGGGTTATACTGTGGAGGAGGACCATATAAAAAAACAAAAAAAAATCACATTGTACATTATAAATACATTAGAAACAACAGCAAGAAAGAAAAAAAAAACAGCTTTTGTCCCAATCTTGGGGTTCATTTAGCTTTAAGATCACCTTATCTAGTCATATGCACATAGCTTTTGACCTTTTCTGCTTATCCCAGACATATATTAGTTATTGCAAATTAGGGGTATCATGGGACCTATGTTTCTTTGGGCTTGGTTTACTTCCATTAATATAATTTTTACCAAGTCTTTCTATTTTCTAACAAATTGGGTAATATTCTTTCTGATGGACAATAGAATCCCATACATACACACATACACACACACATACGCGCACACACGCGCACACACACACACACACACACACACACACACACACATACACACACACACACAACGTTTTCTTGATCCATTTATCTACTGAGGGGCATAAGGGTTGGTTCCCTAACCTAGCTAAGGTAAAAAAATGTTGCAATGAACATAGTGTACTGGTAGTTTAGTATGCTCTTCTTTGTGATCATTTGGGTGAATGCAAAAAAGTGTGATTGCTGGGTCATAGGGGAACTCTAGGTGGAATCTTTTGAGGAATCTCCGTACTGCTTTCCAAGTGGTTGAACAAGTGTACACTCCCACCAAGAATGAGATAGCGTTCCCTTCTGGCCACATCCTATCCAGCAGCTGTTCTTGTAAAAATGTGGAAGTCTTCATAAATTTGCATTTCATCCTTACACAGGGACCATGTTAATCTTCTCTGTACTGGTATGTTTTAGTGAGTGTGCTACCGAATAGAGCACAGAACATTTTTTTAATATATAAAGTGGAATTGATTTTCTTTTTCTTTTTTATTATCAAAATACCATACAGAGGAATTACAATTACCTGGGCAAGATAACAAGAAAAGTTCTTATCAAGCATTATTACCTCCTTCTTTGTTTCCCCTTCCTCTCCCTTCCCAAATGCCCCCGCCCCCACGATTCTCCCGCCCCCCCCCCCACAGGGCCAGAGTTGTAAAGTTCGTTTTTCGAAATAACGACTTGTACAGCTCATTGTAGCAATAGGTCCACGTGTATCCTTATTTAAACAATTTGTTTTTTCCCTTCCCCTCCACAAATTATACCAACATCAAATACAGTGAAAGCAGGGGTTATATCTTGGGAGAGGCACATTCAAAGCAACCAAGAAATCAACTTATAAATATGTCAGAAACAATTGCATGAAAGAAAAAGCATTTGAATGTTATTATTTCACCTAACATCAACTTATCTGTATGTTTCTGCTTGTCTCAGACATATACTGGTAATTACAAATAAAGGAAATCATGGGACCTATCTTTTTGGGGCCTGAATTACTTCACTTAATATAATTTTTTCCAACTCTCTGTTTCCTATCAAATGGGCAATGTCATTATTTCTGATGGAGGAATAGAATTCTATTGGGTATATATACCACATTTTCTTGATACATTCATCTACTGAGTGGCATCTGGGTTGGTCCCATAACATAGCTTTGGTAAATAATGCTGCAATAAACATAGTTGTGCTGGTAGCTTTAGTACAGTCCTGTTTGTGAACATTTGGGTAAAATGCCCAAAAGTGATATTGCTTTGCCATAGGGGAGCTCTATGTTGAATTTTTTGAGGAACCGCTATGCTAATTTCCAAAGTGGTTGAACAAGTTTACACTCCCACCAAAAAGGCAGTAGGGTTTTCTTCTTGCCAGATTCCCTCCAGCATCTGTTGTTCTTAGAGTTCTTGATTATAGCCATTCTAACGGGTGTGAAGTGGTACCTCAATGTTTGTTTTGATTTGCATTTCTTTTATGGCTAGGTAGGTAGAGAATTTCTTCATGTATCTATTGGCCATCCTTATTTCCTCCTCAGAGAAGTCTCTCTATAAGTCTTTAGCCCACTTATTAATTGGGCAGTTGTTTCTTTGAGGATTTGATGTTTTTTTGAGTTTCAGGTATATTTTTTATATGAGACCTTTGTCAATCATATGGCCAGTGAAGATCTTCTCCCAATCCGTGGGCTTTCTACTGATCATGCTAACTATGTCCTTTGCCAAGCAGAAGCTCTGCAATTTCATGCAATCCCATTTGTCCCACCTTTCTTTGATTTGTTGTGTTTCTGGGTCTCTATTAAGAAAATTTTGGACTGTCCCAGGGAGACCTAGGGTTGTTCCTATTCCATTCGGTAATGTTTTCAGAGTATCTGTTTTAACTCTGAGGTCTTTGATCCATGTGGAGTTTATTCTGGTGCAGCGTGGTATATAAGGAGCTAACATTATTCTACAAGTAGTTAACCAGTTTTCCCAGCACTCAGAGGCTGTCTTCTTTCAGAGGCTGCCTTCTTTCCATTCTATTTTTTTTAGCTCTGTTCTCAAAGATTAAATGGCTATAGGATTGTCAGTTCATTTCTGGGGTTTCAATATTATTCCATTGGCCTGAGGCCTGTTCTTGTGCCAGTACCAAGCTGGTTTAATTACTATGGCTTTGTAGTAGAATTTGAAATTTGGTATTGATATTCCTCCAGCACTGTTCTTTGTGTTGAGGATCAATTTTTATATTCGGGGTCTTTTATTGTTCCATATGAATTTTTGAATTGCCTATTCTATTTCTTAAAAGAATGAGTTTGGAATATTGATAGGTATCACATTGAATTTGTAGATAGCATTGGGAAATATTGCCATTTTCACAATGTTGACCTTTCCAATCCAGGAGGATGGGAGTTTTTGCCACTTTCTAAGTTCTGTTTTGATTTCATCTTTCAGGTTTTTCAAGTTTTCATCATAGAGGTCCTTCACTTCTTTGGTTAAGTTAATTCCTAGGTATTTTATTTTTTGTGGGGATATTACGAATGGAGTTGCTTTCCTAATTTCACCCACACTTTTCTCACTGTTGGCAAACAGAAAAGCAATTGATGTTTGAGTGATAATTTTATACCCTGTTACTTTGCCAAAGTTTTGAATCAGCTTGAGTAATTTGGGACTGGAGTCTATTGTATTCTATAAATACAAGATCATGTCATCTGCAAAGTGGGAGAGTTTTACTTCTTCTTTCCCTATTTGGATCCCCTTTATGTCTGCATCTTGTCTTATTGCTGTAACTAGGCATTCTAATACTAGATTGAAGAGAACTGGAGAGAGTGGCATTCTTGTCTTGTTCCTGAGTTAAGAGGAAATGGTTTTTGCTTTTCACCATGAAATAGATGTTGGCTGTAGGTTTGCCACATACAGCCTCCATTGTATTGAGGAATGTTCCATGGATTCCCAATTTTTCCAGAACATTCATCATAAAGGGGTGTTGGATCTTGTCAAATGCTTTTTCTGCATCTATTGAGATAACCACGTGATTCTTATCCTTGCTCTTGTTGATGTGATGAATTATATTAATTGATTTGCATATGTTGCACCAGCTTTGCATCCCTGAAATAAATCCTGTTTGATCATGGTCTATGATTTTTTTGGGTGAAATGTTGAAGTCGATTGGCCAAATTTTGTTGAGAAGCCTTCCATCAATGTTCATCAAAGAAATGGGTCTATAGTTCTCTTTCTTTGCTGAGTTCCTGCTCAGTTTTGGGATGAGGGTTATGATGCCTTCATAGAATGTGTTCGGTAGTGAACCTTCTCTTTCAATTTCATTGAAGAGTTGGAGGAGTATTGGTGTGAGCTCTGTTTTGAAGGCCTTGTAGAATTCTGCTGTAAAACCATCTAGTCCTGGACTTATCTAAGATGGGAGGTCTTTTATTGCTCTTTTTATTTCAATGCTTGATCTGGGCCTGTTAAGATGGTTTAATTCACCTTGATTTAGTTTTGGCCTGTCAATATTTTCTAGGAAACGGTCCATTTTAGCCAAGTTCTCAAACTTATTAGCATAAAGTTTTGAGAATTATTCCCTTATAATATTCTGAATCTTGGTTGTTTCTCTGGTGATGTATCCATTCCCAATTCTGAGTTTATTTATTTCAGTGTGTACTCTTCTTTTTCTGATAAGATTTGCTAAGGGTCTGTCAATTTTGTTAATTTTTTCAAAGAACCAACTCTTTGTTTTGTTGATTCTTTCTATAGTTTTTTTAGATTCTAATTCATTTAATTCTGATTTAATTTTAATTATTTTTTTTCTATCTACTGGATTGGGGTTTATCTTGTTGCTCTTTTTCAAGGAGGTTCAAATGTCTCATTTTCAATTGTTGGTTTCAGATCTCTCCAATTTGTTGATGTAGGAACTCAGAGCGAAAAACATGACCCTCAGTACTGCCTTTGCTGTGTCCCAGAGGAACTGGTAATTTGTGTGCTCATTTTTGTTGAATAGCATGAACACTTGAGTTTCCTTTCTAATCTATTCCATGACCCACTCGTGATTCAGCAGTGTATTGTTCAGCCTCCATGTGTTACAGAACTTTCTTTGGTGGCTTTTTGTGTTGAGTACTAATTTTACTCCCTTGTGGTCTGAGAGAATGCAAGGTATAACTTCAATGTTTCTGAATTTGGACAAGTTTGCTTTGTGGCCTAAAATGTGGTCTATTTTAGAAAATTTTCCATGTGCTGCTGAGAAAAATATGTATTCTGATGCTGCTGGGCGAAATATTTGGTAAATGTCTGTTAAATCTAGTTGATCTTTGCTATTGTTTTGATCTGCAGTTTCTCTGTTGAATTTTTGCCGAGTTCATTGATCTAGTGGGGAAAGTATTGTGTTAAAATCCCCAAAATGTAATGTCTTTGGATCTATGTAGGACTTGAGGGAATGTAGTGTTTCTTGGATAAATTTGGGTGCTCTGTTGTTTGGTGAATAGATATTTAGAATTGTAATATACTCCTAAAGGGGAGATCCCTTAATTAGTATGTAGCGTCTTTCTTTATCCATTCTCACGAATTTTAATTTGAAGTCTATTTTATCTGATGTTAGGATTGCAATTCCTGCCTGTTTATGGGGTCCTTTGCTTGGTAGATTTTGTTCCAGCCTTTAACATTGAAAACGTGTTTGTTTTTATGGGCAAGGAGTTACTCCTGAAGGCAGCAGATAGAAGGATCTTGCTTTTTAATCCAACTAGTCAGTCCATGTCGCTTAATTGGAGAGTTAGGTCCATTAATGTTGAGAGATAGGACTCAGAGGTATTTGGGAGTTCCTGCCGTTTTATCCACCTTCGTGGGGACTGCAGCTACTGGGTTCTTCCTATGGTTCTTGAATTCTCAGTTTGGGAGTGGTTTCTTGGCCTTTATTGTGGTCTTGTTGGTTTTCTATGTGTAAGACATCTTTAATTATATTTGTAGGGCTGGTTTTGTGGAGATATATTTTTTCAATTTTTGTTTGCTATGGAAGTTTTTTATTTGGCCTTCAGTTATGAAGGAGAGTTTAGCTGGGTACAGTGTTCTTGGTTAATTGTTGTTTGTCTTTAGGGCATGGCATACATCATTCCAGGCTCTATAATATCTCGGCTGTCTTCAATCCCTGAGATTCGATCTTCTGTTTGGTTTAACTTGCGGTCAAGAGTTTCTACTTTGTATATTTTTTTAAAATTTCTTTTCCTTCTAATTGGTCAGCTTTGATGGCTTCATATTCTTTGTTGAAGCTTTGTTTTATATCTTTTATGAACTTGTTTACTTCCTTAATTTGGTGTTCAGTGTTTATTCTCAAATCACTTAGTTGATTGGTTATGGTTTCCTTAGACTCTCATTCCTTTTGTTGGGTTCCATTCAGCATTCCTTTTGTGGTGTCCCTGGCTTCCTTCAGCTCTTTGTTAATGGACTCCATGAAAGCCTTTCGTGATCTTTGTGTATTCTCATCCTGCTCTCTCAATT